AGTGCAGCAGCAGGGTCTTTCAAGAGCAGCAACCCCTTTTCTCAGGAGGTGTCTGTATTTCCAGCTTTGCTTGAAAGGCAAAGACTGCCTTGCAGGTGGTGAGCCTGTACCAGAGCCATAGAGGAAACTGGTGTTTGCCAGTAAGACATGCATTCACTTCTCCCTTCACTGGGGAAGGGTAAGAATGAGTCAGCAATGTAGCACAGTTGCAAAAAAACAAAAACAAAAAGCAAATGCAGTTTTGGGCAGTGTTAACGGAGACGTCATATGTAAGATACAGGAGGTGACGGCATTACTCTACTCGGTGGCGGATAGGTATCCGCGAGGGTATCAAGTGCAGTTCTGGGCTCTGCAGTGTAAGGAGGTTCTAGAGAAATGCGAGGTTCCAGAGGTGAGTGACAAGCTGATAGAGGTGCTGGGATGCATCTATACAAAGCGGGGTTGAGAACTTGATTATGTTTAGGTAGCGATAAAAGGAGATGAAAGAGCAGTTTTTAACTTTTTGAAAGGTTGCCATAAAGAAGAGGGAGAATGGAGGCCAAGACGCAGAATAATGGGTTTACACTGCAGCAGAGAAGATTTAGATTAAACTTCCACACAATTTTCTTGGAACAGTGGAACAGGCTGTCCAGGGAAGTTACAGAACCTCCCTCACTGCAGGTTTTTGAGAACAGTCTGGAGCAACTTCTGTCTGGGAAGGGTCAGCAAGGGCACATCCTGCATTTGTGCTGGGCTAGGTGACCTGTGATGTTCTTTCCAGCCCTGAGATTCTAGAAGGGAGATTAAGTTATGCTTCTTTCCTTTAATTCTTACTGTGTTGTGGTGGCTGACATATTGTCCCTCCCCGCTAAAACTAGCTGAAATAAGCCTTGCTAGTAACATATGTTAAAGTGGATGACACACAATTAGAAACCAAAAATAAGAATGACTATATCAGCCTGTATAAGAGGGTAGAATTGCAGCAAGGAATAAGATCTGCTATCCGGCAGCGATTCCTCTAGCCTTCTGCTGTATCCTATGTGCTGAAATGCTTCCCTCACTGAGTTCATGATGTCTCTTCTGGTGCAGAACTGCCTTCCTTCCTGAAAACCCCCATGGATCTCACAATCCGTACTGGGGCTATGGCTCGTCTGGAGTGTGCCGCAGAGGGCCACCCCACGCCCCAGATCTCCTGGCAGAAAGACGGTGGCACGGACTTCCCAGCAGCGCGTGAGAGGCGTATGCATGTTATGCCTGAAGATGATGTCTTCTTCATTGCAAATGTAAAAATAGAAGACATGGGAATCTACAGCTGTATGGCACAGAACGTCGCTGGAGGTCTGTCAGCAAATGCCACGCTGACTGTGTTGGGTAAGTGAAGTGTGTGTCCGGGGATTGTGTGGGTCCTCTCCTTTTTTCCTTCTAGTTGTAAATGGTTTTAGGCAGCAGGGAGCAAGGGAGGGCAATTCCTTTAAAGACTCTGGCCTGTCTCTCCCCGGCAGGTAGGCATGCACAATGCAGACATGCGGTTTTTACAGTTGAATCCCAAACTAGATGAAATAGGTAGGTATGTTGTTTCCTTGTCCATTGTTTCCTGGCTGCATAATGAGATGCATGAGGGTAGCTTCCATTCAGTTGTGCTTGCTGTACAGTTTTTTAAAAGAGAGAATGTAAAGAGTGTACTTGATCAAGGAGCTTGTAGACTTCATAGCAGAGACTATCTTGTGGGAACTCGAGGGCAACCTTGAGTGTGCCAGTTAGCAGCAAAGGGAAAGTTGCATCTTCAGGGCTGTAGGCTTCTTGAAGGCTTGCATCCTTATAATATTGTGGCCATATGCAGACTTAGGAGCAGAAATGTCACGTGGGAACCGTGTTGCCCACGCACTGAGGTTCACTTCAGCATACTCACTGGGACAGTATTCCGTTAAGTTGGAATGACAGCTGCAGAGCTCGATCTGTCCCAGTACCTCCTTACTACTATGTTGCTTTGATCTCACTGCCAGAGGCCAGGCTTAGGCAGGCTCTTGGATCTCTTTCAGTGCACCTAGGCTTACTGTAGTCAGGATTCAGTGCCCGTATCTTTCAGATTAACTAAAGGTCTCTCCTCTCATGTCAGAAACCCCTTCATTTGTGAGGCCTCTGGAAGACAGGACAGTAACCCGTGGGGAAACCGCTGTGCTTCAGTGTATAGCTGGCGGCAGCCCTGCCCCACGCCTCAACTGGACTAAAGATGATGGGCCTTTAACGGTGACAGAACGGCACTTCTTTGCTGCTGCCAATCAGCTCCTGATCATTGTGGATGCTGGCCTGGAGGACGCTGGGAAATACACATGCATCATGTCCAACACACTAGGCACAGAGCGTGGCCACATTTACCTGAATGTCCTGTCTTCCCCAAACTGCGATTCTTCCCAAGGTGGCATTGTGCACGAAGAAGATGGCTGGACAACGGTTGGCATTGTGATTATTGTTGTGGTCTGCTGTGTTGTGGGCACCTCTCTGGTATGGGTCATAGTTATCTATCACATGAGAAGGAAAAGTGAAGACTACAGCATCACTAACACAGGTAAAATACAGGACTAGCTTGCTTCCGTTCTGTTTCAGCCAGTCACACGTGAAACGCTTGTAGAAAGAATGTAAAGCCCCTGATTTTTCCAGACCTGGATTAGGCCAGAGAGAGAAGTCTTTTGTTTCTCATAGCTGAACTTCTCTTGCTCACTGCATGCAATTGACTGGGTATATTTTTCAAGGTGCCCGTTATATCTGCTCCCCTTTTGGGGAGGGGAAGGAGTCAGAGCCTTTCATGTTAAGCGCAGTCCTTTGTTTAGACATCATACTTTGATGCTTGTGTCCTGCCACCCTGCTGAACTGAATGGAACAAATTTAAATATGTGGTTTTGGGAGTAACTGATAACCTGAAATCAATTGCAGACCTCAGGGTATAGGACAAGGTCCATAACTGATTTTGCTCCCTCTGGGTGGAGGTTTGACTAAGCCAATGCTGGTGATTTCTAATCGCCTTGAACTGGAGAAGGGACGGCGCACAAGTCAGATCCATTTCTTATTCTGCACCAGTCTGCCAACCAGTGACAAAACCTGTGTTGATTCGGTCATTATTGATTGTGTTTCTTTCAGAGGAGATGAATTTACCTGCAGATATTCCCAGTTACTTATCATCCCAAGGAACTCTGTCGGAACCTCAGGAAGGCTACAGCAATTCGGAGGCAGGAAGTCATCAGCAGCTTATGCCTCCAGCCAGTGGCTACGTGCATAAAGGCACGGATGGTAAGCACAGCCCTTGCACACATTGTTTGCCTTGCAGCAGTACTCCAGTGTAGCTCTGAGTTCTGGTAACTAATAACAGCTTGTACAAAGCCAGGAAATGTGGCCTTAGGCCCAAAGGTGACTCTTTTACAAGGCTGGCAGGTAATTCTAAGATTTCTGTGTATTGTTCTGTAAGTAGATGTTTTCTGTTTAGTCTTAGGGTGTTTCACGTATGCTTCGCTCTTGGGGGAGCATGAGCTCATAGATTCATAAATGCTAGGGTCAGAAGGGACCTCAACAG